TATGATTGATTTTGTTTATGTGCCTAAATCTTGTCACTTTACCTGTTGATATTTCACGCACATTTTACGCCATATCGAAATAAAAGGGCACGGCGAGATTGGTGCGTTTTCCACCCATCGGAGATAACACACCAGCTCGTTGTCCTTTTCGAGCATTGCACGGCGATCCGGTACGCGAACAGTTAGAAAGCAGTCCGCCAGTGCCGTAGCCAGGAAATGTTTTCAGGGGATGCTTTCCTTTGCCCAGACCATTCAAAAGTAGGAAAAAAAAAATCAAGAAAGAGGAAAAGAAATCCCGCAAACACAATTTCAGTTGCTATTTTTCTGTTTCTCAGAAGACAAGAATTCAACCTTTTTTATTTCGTCCCTCCGATCTTTAAAGAGGGGAACTTTACTGTGGAGCAACGAAAACACGCAATCATAAAATATAATAATGCGCTTTGAACAAAAAAGTCTAGACAGGCTCACAAAATATTCCGGTGCGTTCCCTTCTCTGTGGAACACTGGGGTATCCAATGACTGAAAACTATGTAAGAGTGCCAAAGAATAGCGAAGTTTAGAATACGAATACACATAAAAACTCCAATGCGCACTGACCGGGGCAACGAGCAAGTGAAACGTCACGCTCATTGTTCATGCGCACATTTTTCAGAAATGATCGTGTTGTGGTCATGTTTCTGATTTTTTCCGTTCTTCGTTGTGGTTTTCCGAGAAAGTGGCAGAGAAAAGTACCAGTTTCTATCGTTTTGTGGGGTCTAAACATTTAGTGGAAGCCGCGGTCGGTCGATCGAAAGAAGCGAGAGGACCCTTTCGGAGCTGTCTTGGATGTTCCCGTGAATGTTCAAAAGCGCAACCGTTCACCCTTAGCTGAGACTAGAAGCTCCGCCTTCAGCGCGAGCTTTCTGCCCTTGCTGGCACAAGTCTGAACGCGCAGGCGCGCGCAGACAAAGCACAGCGGAAGCCAGCGAGCTCGCGCTGAAGGCGGAGCTTCTGGTCTGAGGTAAGAACGGAGTAGCAAGCGCTCCGGGGACGTTGATGCTCTCAGGTATGGCTCCCGTCTTCGGAGTCTCGAGACCGAACGTTCCGCCTCAGCGGCGCTAACGGGCATGGTGGCCAGGATTTGCAGCAGGCGGTTGACATTAGAATACAAGACCTGGGGACCAAGGCAAGTTGTCTCTAACGGTGACACGCGCTAAGCGGTGCGGTCCCTTCACATCTGTGTCGAAACCAGAACTTCCTCAGACAGTTTGTTTAATGAAACGAATGCTCCGCACAGGCTGGTGATTGGCCGAACCCGAGGATTGCGACATTGATACCGACGTCGTTGGCCATGACATTGCTCTCGCCTAGGGCGGACGATGCTGCCTGACGTGAATGTGCCGACTCTGTTGGAGACGTTGATGGCACGCTTGAAGTTGTAGGTCAATAATCATTATTTAAAAAAGCGTCAAGCGACAGCTTTGGCTATTGAATTAATTTTTGAGAGTCTATATACGTAAAGGAACTTTCACGACTCACGTGTTGAACGCAAGATTATAAACATTACCCACTGCAGTGATTAAAGAAGTAACCTCGGTACGCTTTGAAACCAAAATAATTATGAGCATTCCAAAGTGCTTCTAGGGTGCATATGCTGCCGCATTTCTCTCCCGCTTTTTTTTTTTTTTTTTTTTTCTTTTTTACATTTTGGTATGCCCCCAAAACAAATAAAAGACGGGACGAAAAGGAAAAAAGAAAGCTAAGCTGTTTGTCCTTTTGTCGTCCTGTTTGTAGGGTTGTAGGGTTTGCAAAGTCAAAGTATTGCTATTTTGAAATTTTGTTTCGCTGCCCTGATAGTGGCGTGGAGTCCTTGAGGCTCAAAGAGTAGGGGAACTTTATTCAAGCCGCCTGCATTCTCCGAGGCGAGGCCAGCGTCCTTCGAGGTCAGGATTTCGCGGCTTATGTGACGTCAGGAGCGGAGTCATCCGCACCTGCGAGCCCGAAGAAAGGCTTAGGTTGCTAATAACACTGTCGAGTTTGGCGAGAGCTCTTCGGAAAGCCGGAGCCGGACTTCTATTTCTCACGCTCACGCAGTCCACGGACAGTGTTGTCATCTTCGTTTTGCTTTGGAATGTTCCGGCCCCTCGCCGTAGTGGGTTGTCGAACAGAAAGAGAAGCACATAGGACTTTTAATGCCTTCACAAAACAAGAAAAAAAAAGCTGACAATGAAAAAGGGAAAGGGGGAAAGAGGAAAACCATGCAATTTCGAAGGTGCTTCGACCCTTGAACACGACCTGGCTACGCCAATGTCTGGTTTATCAGCGCGGCCAGCCAGCGCATCCCGACAAGCTGCCACCTTGAGCATGCGTGTCTTCGCGGCAACCGCGTCGTATTTACACGTACCGTATGTCGGATTCCTAGTCGGTACCTTTTCGTTCCCGTGGTTTGGACTCGCTTCAAAACAACGATTCGGGGTAGTGGTTAGAAGATCGAAAACAAACAAATGTTGGGGGATAACGAATACAGACCAGCATTTATTTTCTCCAAAATCTCACACAAATGTGACAAAACACAAATCACACTATCGGGTTTGTCGAAACTAGCTGCTTGGCGGATTTTCCGGAGTGGTGTCAAGCGACTCTGGTGATTCTGCCGGAATGCTTCAATGAAATCGATATTCCACAGCGACCTCTTTCTGACAGATGGCCAGTCTGTTCGCCGAGTCAAGAAACTGACACCGAAGAAAGCGGACGAAGCCTAATTACACAACGTACGCGTTTGAAATTGTAGCGCATTTCACAGAACCTTTGCAAACAATGCAAAAATTCAGTCCCACTTTCATCGCGGACCGCTACTATCGTTTACCTAGCCGAGACACTCCAGATGAAAATTTCTGGCCGGCTTGGTTAAAATGTTTCATTGGGTCCACCGTTCCCGTACATTCGATGGCGCTTGTTTCGACCGGGAACGGCTGCCATTACGTACGACTAGCACATGATAAAATATAGCACACACACATGAGGTCATCCTTAATTCTAATTAACTCTACCTTTGGCGCGTCATGGAGATTCCCGCTTGTGCCGGCACCCCACCACCGGCTGTTAGGCCTATGGGCCCGAGCGCGCTAGACAGATAGGCCTAATGGCGGTAGCACATCCTCGGAGCAGTTCACGTCCACAATCGCCCAGTAAGCGCACGAACGTTAAATATGCACACCAGCACGGGAAAACGTGGACAGCAGACGACACGCGGCAAGAAAGGCAGGTTCAGTTCGCAGAAATGAGCGCCTCGAGCACCACACTGGCCCCAGCTGCCCCGAATTCCGTTCCCGTACATTCGATGGCGCTTGTTTCGACCGGGAACGGCTGCCTTAACGTACGACTAGCACATGATAAAATATAGAACACACATGAGGTCATCGTTAATTCTAATTAACTCTACCTTTGACGCGTCATGGAGCTTCCCGCTTTCGCCGGCACACCACCACCACCACTGGCTGTTAGGCCTATGGGCCCGGGCTCGTTGGACAGATAGGCCTAACGGCGGTAGCACATCCTCGGAGCAGTCCACGTCCACGCGCACAATCGCCCAGTCGAGCGCACGAACGTTAGAAATGCACACCAGCACGGAAAAACGTGTACAGCAGACGACACGCGGCAAGAACGGCAGATTCAGATCGCAGAAGTGAGCGCCTCGAGCACCACACTGGCCCCAGCTGCCCCGAATTCCCGAATGGGGCGCTCGCGCGTGGGCTTCTGGGTAGTCACCGCCGTCGGGCAGCGCTCTCCGGGCTCGTTGATGACGCGAATAGAGCATTCTTGGCGGCGGCGTGCAACGTTCGCGCTCGTCGCTACGAGTGCACAAAAATCGAGAAAGCTGCCACGCGCCACCGACCTGTGCGCACCCGAACTCGTATGGACCAAGAAAACGCAACCTACGTATCCATCCGTGGATCGCGCCGAGTTTATTTACTTTTTTTCTGCTGTGGCTTGGAATCGGGAAGAAATCTGGTCCCGCCAGGTACCGACGCAGGTATTTCCAGAGAGGGGAGGTTAGCGTATCAGATGTCTTTTGAAACCCCCCTCCTCCCCCCCCCCCCCACCCTTTCCCTTTGTTTTCCCGCATTAAATTTTTACACATGCACAAATCAAGAGGAAGTCCAAACATCTGGACAGACCGCCCCCCCCCCCCCCCCCCCTCCCTCTTAATCCGCCACTGGCCCCCGCCAACGGCTCGCTTATCCTTTTGAGATCGCGTGAAAGCTTTCTCGAGAGGCCGTTGGCTGTGTTTTTCGTAAAAACCCAGGGAGATGCAGACGCACATTTTTCGGTCCTGTTCAGACGGCGCGTTCATTTCACGAAACTCGTTTCGCGAGTCAAGATGCGCCAGAAAAATGCATCGTGTGAAAGGGCCTTTAAACAACACACAATGGTTGCACTATACTTGAGTCTGCCCGAAAAGAGCTGGATTGTCTTCTGCTTCCCCATAGTACCCTCAACTTTTGAGTATTCGCCAGATTGAGCGAAAAGTTCGTATTTTGGGGTTGGTTTTTCACTGGTGTAATATTTGTTGTTCGAGAGCGTCGGGATTTTGGATAAAAACCAGCCCCAAAACGTCTTAGACCCATTATAACGACCTCCTCCACGACGGGAAACCCGTTGGTGCCAGAGCCGGGACTGAGCGGGACGGGGGAAACGCCGGCTGCGTCAATGGCGGCCGATCTCCCGCAGACGGGTGGACGGATGGGAGTATTTTCAACTCCCATTTCGTCTTGCGGAGGGTTGTCATGCAAGAACTCCAGTTTAAAATGGGAGTAAAATCAGGTGTTGTCGCTTTTATACCTCGTCTCTTAGCGACCAGAGTAAAGTGGTGGTTTCTAGTTTTTGTACTCCCATGTGCGGGAGTGAATGCTTTAGGCTTGGGAGTTTAATCGGTATCTTATTCTTTAAAACCCCCATCCGGGCTACTTTTCGTTTACAGTGCAGTAACTCGTGAGGACTATCGATTCCTTACAGCTTTAAATGGGTGCTCGGGCAACGATGGCAAAGGTCCATGTCAGGAGCGTTGCACTCCTTCACCTAACAATGGATACAGCTGTTCTTGCATAAGTCCCGGGACAGAGCTCTCGACCGACGGGGTTTCGTGCGACAGTGAGTGAAGCATGCTTCCAGATCCTTCGCCTTAAAGTCGCATTTCTGCAGCAACGGATACTCTTTGAACATGGTAACCCAGGACCCAAGGAAAAACGGGACGAACAACACAAAACTCCATGCACAGCCGAAGTTGTATTAAGCCGAATCATCCTTAAATGGGCCCACGATCGCACACCAAATAAAACAAAAATAAAGACGATCCAAGGCTTCTAAGTACCAGAAGAAGGAACAAAGCCGCCTTTTGAGGATGACTTGGCCTTTTAAAATTTCAGCTGTGTTATAGAGTGCAGCTCTTAGGCGCCCGTTTCCGAAATGTGCGGCGTCGGCGTCGGCGTAACCGCGCGTTGAATTATGGGACGTTTCTCTGCTAAATTTAGCGGAAAAAGTTTTCCGCTAAGTTAACGGGGACAATTTCCCGCTAAATTTAGTGGGAAAATTTTATCGCTAAATTTAGCCAAAAAATATTTCCGCTATATTTAGCGGAGAAATTTTTCCGCTAAATCTAGCGGAGGAAATGTTTCTGCTAGATTTCGCGGGAAATTTTCCTGCTAAATTTAGCGGAAAAATTTATCCGCTATATTTAACAAAAAAATTTTCTCGCTAACTTTATCGGGCTAAGTGTTTTCGCTAAATATAGCGGGGAAAATTAGGTCACGTGACCTGAGCACCAATTCAGTTTCCCCGCTAACTTTAGCGGGGAAAATGACGTTACGGCCTCGTGTCACGTCACCCATGAACAAATTCAGCGGCAGGAGGAGAGGAGGACGCCCGAAATCAAACTTTCAGCCGTGATATTTGTAAAACTACAGATGATATTGAAAAAAAAAATAAAACCTGACAATTCAGGGACACAGACTGAGCTGAAAACAGTCGTAATCCCGAATGCGGTAAATAGTGACAAGAGTTGCCCTTTAAAGGGGCCCTGCAATCATATTTAAGCGTCAAACTAACTATCAGTGCGCCATATTTTAACCGGACGACGCGGAAACCTCCTTCACCTACGGGGGCGACCCGCGGTGTCGAAAGCGCTCGATATGAGACGTCTTTGGTCCTGGTAAGAGCCGCCAAAAACTTTGTTCCTCGTCAGAGCCGCCAAAAACTTAATTTTTGTCGAAATACAAACTATAAGTGGCGCCGAGCCGTTTCAATTATTTATAAAAGTGGGTTTTGTTCGGAGTTTTAGATCAGAAAAGAAACAAATGCAGTTTATAAAGCACGGAAAGAAGAAATGACCCGTTGATATACCCGCCACCAAGCGGTGGAAAAGGCGCCGCATACTATAAAGGTATAGTGGTATCACGCACCGACGACCGGCGAGCGTAGCAAGGTACGCGGCGGCGCTGAAGTCGAGGATTCGACCGGTTCCGAGCGTTCCGAAGGCCTTCGGCGAGCAGCTTTGGTTTGCGGTTTGGCCCTTCGGCGGCATGGCAGCGCGAAGTGGCTCCCGTTCTGAACTGATTTTTACGCCGTGTTTGCTGTCGTTTGTGGCCAATGAAGTGTCATGCCGAATTAGTGTTTAATCGCGCAACAAATGCAATGCGAGCCGCCCTGCAGCTGCCCGCTTCATACAGCCTAGCCAGAACATGCTTTAGAGGCGCCCTCTCGAGCCATCGATACGGAGTGCGGCAGCCGTGAGCGCTCGCTGAGCTCACTACCCCTTCTCTAGTTCAGTGCCACTCAAGCGACCAAAGACGTCATGAAGGAGGTTTATTTGTTCATGTTTTTGACATTTTAGTTTGCCTACAACTTTTAAAATAAATCTAAATTCAAGAAACGAAAAGTTTCATTAAGTTACTACGTTCATTGCGCTCAGGTTCTGTGCAAATTAGAAACAAGTAAAAGAAGTCCTTGCAGGGCCCCTTTAAGGGGAAGCGAAGTGTAGCAGGTGTTCGGAATCATTAGAAATATATGGCTGGCCAACTCGCACTTGGAAATGTAGGCTGCTCAATATAGATTCATATCGTTTTCTTCTTTTTTGCTACTGCCCCTTGACAGCAGATATCAGGAAACTGCTGGTTGTGCCATGAGTGCAACGCTCCACTCAAGAGAGAGAGAGAAAATGGACCTTTTCCAAATACCGACGCCACCAGGCGGCGGCTGCACGAACTAAAAATCAAGGAAGTGACCTACCTGCGCTACCATTGATAATGGGAGCTACGTTACCAGTTGCTTCGCTCTCTGAGCAGCGTCGCGTGCCCAACGCAACGAAGTAGGCCTAGCGCGACTTTAAAGAAGGAAATCCGTAGCGTCCACCCAAACGTCGTGTTTTTCTTTCCGTCCACTTTCTTTTTTTGTGTAACACAATTATATATATGCTGCAATTACGTGTTCTACTCGTCGATTTACAGCCTCATTCCGAATTTCCTCGATTTTTTCGTGCCGACTTCCACCGCTTGGCATCGGGCGCTCGCGCGTGCGCAGAACGCTTCTCGGAAAAGGTCCATTGTCGGTATCATTGGATAAACAGTCGCCGTGACTTCTGGCTGTCTTCATTTTTATTTTCAATTCTTTTCCAGAGTTGTCTGTTGTACCCGAGGACACGTATGAGTATATCTGGCCGTCAAACTCAACTGGCTTTTCAAACAGCAGCGATGGGATTGATGATATCGAGGGTTCTGGGATGGAGGAGGAGACACCGTCCGGAAAGAAAGACGCGGATCGCGTCACGCCGGAATGTCCGATAGGATTTGCTCCAGTCAACGGCACATGCGAAGGTATTATAACCAAACTAATACGCAGTGCCAATAGGTAATTTTAATGAAATTTAGCCAGATAAAAACTCGTACAATTCGCAGTGAAATTAGGTAATTCGATTACTTATATTCAGGGATGTGTGGAGATTGCTTAGAATGGCATAGCGCCGCGGCATTGCTAGTTTCAACGCTGTAAAGAAAGCCAGTATGTAGTGGTTGTCTTAAACACGACGAAGACTATGATGATGCATTTTTATTTAATTCAAAGCACTATGTCCGCAGCCCTACTTAAATTTATTTTATTTATTGCAAAGGCAATTGCATGACGTTAAAACTAAGCTTACTTTTCAATAAGCCAATCTGACCTTTCCTAATAAAATAAGTCTTAGAGTGCGGAAAAACGTTTATTTGGTGTGGAAAAACAATGCAGCATGCACAGCACTCTAATGACTTAAGTCATCGAAATTCAATGGTGGTGTTTGATGAAAATTAAGAGTATTCAAATCCATTTTGGCAGGATCTATCCTTAAATTGTGTCCACATGTCAGTCGGGTATGTGAAATCTCATCTTATATGCTGCGGAGCCCTTTCTCAGGATATCCCTTCGTTTTCAAAAAGAGTATCACCAGCCGATTTTTGGACAAAAATTGTTCTATCCAGGAGCTTGTGTTCCTTCTAGGAATAAGTATTAAGAGTCGTTCCTCTTCGTTTCAGCATTGGTGTGAAAAAAAAAAACGGATGCCGCTTAATGGTCGACTTCGTAGCAACTCCACATTTCTTAACGTTTATGATAAACTTGAATATAAAGCTATTTTCATACCAGTGCCTTAAAAAAAATTAAAATTAAGACGACAGCAGAAGCATCCTACAACGCTTCACCCTCATATATTCACCAGTGTCGAACATACATTGACGTGTTTCAAGCTCCTGCCTTCTTGCGTTGCGAACATCACAGATATCAACGAATGCTCCTCCGGGACCAGCAACTTGTGTGCCCACATCTGCAACAACACCATTGGAAGTTTTCGCTGTAGCTGCAGGGAAGGATACACGTTGAGCGAGACTGGGACCGGCTGTGAAGGCAAGTAAATAGCACAGTTGTTCATCACTTTTGAAAGTTTACAAGTTCCAAATCATTTCTAGGACTCCCTTTGGCCACCTTAAAATGGTGGCATTGCGACGACCTTCTGCTGTCTTTTGACATCAGTACCCTATTCAAGCTACTTCATTCATTGCACCTTAAAACAAAGCACTGGCCCGGAATATAGAAATATATTTTACATTATAGTATCAATATCTATGTATTGAAGTTTTTTACGCTATGTAGGGATGGCCGAAGGGGCTTAGCCGAGAGAGCTCGGGGAATGGGCGGCGCGGTCACCCGAAGCGTCCTTCGGAGGCGCCCGATGTCTTGTCTTTCCCTTTGGCGGCAAGCGGAGGCCAGCTCCCGAAAGTGGAAGCAGATTTCCCCGCGTGGGAAGTAAACAAACCTCTGTTCGCGGGTGGTCGCCCTTGCCGCCGAGGTAATTGGGGAGGCGACCTTGTCAGGGCCATGTCGGCGACTTCGGGGGAGAGAGGGAGGTCCGGCCTCCCTTCGGAATGTCGGTGCGCCTGTTTGGAGAAGTTGAGTTTGAACGAGCCCGTGCGCGGAGCAAGACGTTATTCTCCCGCGGTCCCGAGGGCTCCGCGTACTTTATCCTGCGGGGTAGAGAAGTTGCCGTGCGCGGCAACGGATTTGGCGCTGAGGCGCTTTTGTCGACGTCGGGCTGCCGTGAGCGGCAGCAGCAGCGTGACAGCCTTGTACTATATTCGTTCTTCTTTGTAAATATATTTGTCGAAAAACCTCCACCGAGTTCTCCGGCTCCTGACTGGCGAGAACGGCAGATCCCCGCACCACCGCACGACACTCCACGGTCACCCGGCTCCATCGAAACCCGAGGGAGACGACGGAGTGCCGGGAAAACCACCATCACTCCTGGAAGGAAGAATTTTTACTCGCTATTTTTAAATCATCGTGCTTTTGTTCTTTGTACATGGCAAGTTTCCATGAAACCGAGCATCCACGTATGCTGCGATCGACTGTCTTTGACCGGTTAGGACCAAGGGAACATTTATAATGTGTTCTCGGCACCTATTGTGAACCAGAACACAAATTAGTTGTTAGGAGACTCTAAAATATACTGCAGTAAACAATGGTACTCGATGTCGCCGTCATTCTAACCATATTCGCTTGCCTCTACTTTCATAATATCAAGTAAACTTATTGAAAATGAGATTCGGATTGCGAGAGCCGATCTTTGTTTCATTTCAAATTTTAAGTTTTTTTTTCCTTTGCTTTTATATAAGACATCGACGAGTGCTCCTCGCATTCGACTGATCCCTGCTCGAACATCTGCAAAAATACCCAAGGTAGCTACTACTGCGCATGCTTCCAGGGATACAAACTGGACGGAACTAGAAGAAATTGCGTAGGTGAGTTGAACTTTCTCCAAAGTTCTAGGAAACACCACAGTTATCCCGAACGTGTAATCACAAATATGTCTGAATTTTTTGCGCTGGACCGAAATATTCCTATCGAAACTCAGTGGTATAAAATATCACCAAAAGGGGGGGGGGGGGGTACTTTATTTTGAGTACACATCTCGGTCTTCCGCGATAAAGTGTAAGGGTAAACTACGACAGCAATCCGCCAATATCGTCCTCTTGCTAAATACAGCTACATACATTTGCATTTGCCTATGCACGAGTGTGTTTTGATTTGTTAAAACCGCTTAAGAGACTAGCACAGTGGCACCATCTATCGAGTGGCCGTAGAACGCTTCTGTCTTAAGTGTATATGTTTTTTTTTTCTTGTTTTTTTTGTGCGTATTTTTTTACCGTGGGCCTGACATAATTCTTACAATATTATAAGCGACTATTTCAAACAGAGTGCGTAAAGTTGATCTCGGTGGTTACGAAAGATCATGACATGTTCGGCACAGTAAACCTGTATCAAAGAAAATACATCGAGAAAGAGATAACGAAAGACTTTTTCTTGCCTCCCGCAATGCACAGATATTGACGAGTGCTCGATGGGCCGGCATGGCTGCGGGGATGTATGCGAAAACGTTGACGGAAGTTACAGGTGCAAGTGCCATCCAGGACGGATTTCGCTCGGTGGAGGGCGTTGTCAAGGTACCATCCATTTCATGCGCAATAAAACTCAGACGGTTTGTGTTCATTGGGGACGCAGATATGTTTCTAAGATATCTGTCCCGCTTTGAAAGAACATAATTTGAGATTAAGTAGATACGAAATCTTTTACATCCCTAGTCACAGGGTCTACCGCAAAAACTGTAGGCATATTACTCGTATTTTATGCAGGCCTGTAAGCCTGCATATAGTAAATAAAAGATAGTTTACCAACTTTTTTTAAAGCCGATATTACGTTACAAAGGAACAAAATAATAACTGAGACATTGGTAGATTGCGGTATTTTTAACGCGAAAGCATAACTATCCCATGGAGCGAAGCCAGCGGTGTCTGTAACCGCAAAAAACGAGCCAGAAACTCTTATTTTCCCATTGGCTGAGCGAAACGGACCCTAAAATCCCATTGGCTGCGACGCGTCATAGTACCAAGGAACGCCACCCCACAGAAAAGCCCTCTCCTGGCGCTGCGGCTCGCGCGCCGGTAAAAGAGAGGGTGGCGCGGGTGCGACCGCCACTCTCTCCCCCCTCTAGGGTCACGTGTCACGCGTGGTAGGAGGGGGAGGGGTAGCGGGAATTTCCCTCTCCCTCTTCCTGTGCACTACTGTATCACGAGTTCTGCAGCGCTGCTTGTGGAGCACTAACAATCAGAGCTGTACGCAGCTCTTACAAGCACGCAGCAAGATGCTTGTAGGGATACTTTCGCACTCCTACATGTAAGCAGTCTTAAGTGTCATCCTCTAATTTTTATACCTACATTTGGACGAAGTTGCATTGCAGAAGAAAAACTGTAGTGGAAACATTTTCTTGAATTATTCGAGAAACAAACATTTACAGACATTGCTCGAGGTAAATCATGATTAATGTGCTGAACCTCAAGGCGAGATTATATTGGTTTTCATTAAATATTTAATTTTTTTTATGGAAAGTAGCGCAACAGTGGGAGGTACTAAAAAATGTGCAGCGGTTCTGTCACGAATGTGCAATTTAGGTTGTTTTTTTCCTAAAACTTACCTAAACTATTTGTTAAAAAAAATTAATTGGTTTCAGTGATTATGCGGCAATTTATTAACACCAATACCTCTACGTTTCGGTACTCATCTTGGCATCGTGCAGAAAATGTCATGGTAACTAAGAAAACCCGATTTCTCCTCGCTTTTTCCTCACACCGTTAGCAATTGGCAACGATCGCGTAACTACAATAAAAATGTAACCCCGGTACTTTGTGCAGTTAGATTTATGAACACTTTTGCGAACACCAACTCAACTCGCACCTACCTAGATTTACATAATGTCCCTGCTCTTAAACTCTAATGCAGAAGACGTCTTAGTAACTCACTCCCCTCTGCAATGCCCTCGGGTCCTGCGGGTTGTAAAATAAATAATCGCTCACAGTTCCTGGCTTCAGTCATATTCGGAGTCAAAAACGGCGTGCTATGTGCATCTCCATGTTCAATTCTTCCTCTTTCTTCGAAGACTGTCAAAAAAACACGTTCAAGGATCCAAAGGGAGAGGCTTGCGTACGATGCCCACCCAATACCCACACGATTGCTTCAAGAGCCGCGTCTGTCGACGAGTGCGTGTGCGACGGCGGCTTCCGGAAATCATCGAACAGTGGACAAGGCTGCGAAGGTAACCTACTTCGCCTCGTTCTCTGTTCAGCAATGCACATCACTACAATTAGTTTCCCCGTAACTTGGTAAAGAGCAAACGTTAAGGCCCTCTCAAGCCAATCAGGGCGACGGAAGCAAAGCACGTTTCATCACTTCCCTTAGGTATAGGGAGAGAGCGCAACCCGTGCAGTCGGATAATAAGGGAAGCGGGAACTCTTCCCTTATACCCTTATACCCGGGTCTCAAAACAGGCGGCCCGCGTGCATCCGGTGGCTGTGAGCTCCGTTTCTATTCCTCGAGCACTACATTCGCCTAAAATAAGCTTAATATCGGGAATTCATTTTTGCATAAAATGAAGCTCTGCTCATTCAACGTGTTCAGACATTTTGCTTTTTTTTTTTTTTTGTTTAACTGAGTACTAGTGCTTCGTCTAAATATTTTATTATCAGCCCTTTTTCAAATAAACCGACCGGCACAGCGATACAACGACTTGTCGTTGATGTTGGCGTTTATTACGTGCCCAAAAACACCTTAAAGCTTTACACATTGGTGCATTACAAATGTCACTTACACGTATAAAAAATATTTAAAAAAATACATGTAACGATGTCAAGCGCGTAAAAGCCCATCGGAGGGCCTAAGTCGTACTAAATCATATTACAGGTACCTTCCACCGTTCAGGGGTAAAATAAGACATGGAAAAAAGATCGTGCTGAAAATGGCTGTTGCTAGAGGCCTGATTTTGATATAAGGGTGATCCCTTAAATATCTTCTCGGGATGAAACGTTACGCACTGTCGCGCGAATATAGCTGGGATGCGTAGTTGCATGCTGCCTAAAATATCCGGTACATCAGTATGACCTTGGATGAGTTTATGTATCAACACTACATCTCGGCGATTTCTACGGCAACCTAAGGTGCTGGGGCTCAAATTCCTAGCAAGCCAATGGTATTCGAAGTTTTAGCCTCCTCGGAAAATGCCTGTCATAGACTATGCAAACTAAACGCATTTGTACCGCTTCAGTACGCTTACATTCACTTTCCAGTAAGTTGTTCCACACGGCAGAAGCCAATTCAAGATGGGGCCCAACCAATGCCCAAAATAGACGTGACATAGCATCAAGTGCTTCCAAGTACCGAGTCATACGCGCAATCGTGTGACACAATTTAAAACGTACAACAAATATGTGTGTCACGAGATTTGAACATGAGTTAGCAATCGACTAACTCACCAAGGTCCCTGATCACATCAGCTCGAGCACCATTACTGTTTTCCAACCTGTACTTAAAATGTAAGGGATATCTACGCCTTGAAAGCAAGATAACGTCAGTGTTGTTCGCGTTCAGAGGCAGTCGGTTCTTCGACCCCCACTTTGAATCATTCAAAATTTGAGACTGCAGCGCTTCGTAGTCTGTTTCGAAAAAAATATGACAGAAGAACTTTATGTCATCAGCAAAATACGAACACCTTAGTAAATTTTATACAGTTTCAAACTTAATTTATACATATGAGGAACAACAACGGACCCAATACTAAGCTAGAAGCGCGAGCCTTTTGCTCAACCTCGGCTGCACGAAGTCTCGCTCAGCAGCAGCATCTGCTAACGGTAAAGCTTTGCGCTCGGGCTTCTTGCTCTCAAACAATACCTTTAAAATACAAGTATTTTATTACAATGCTGCAAAACAAAATTGTCAGGAAAGCAAAAACTGCCGTATGAAGATTTTTTTTTTTATGCCTGTTCAGCTATAGTAATTTGTACGACAGGGCAAGGACCAGTGCGCTTGCTCTCCTCCTATTAAAAACTGCCAGTGCTGTAATGTGGTGTTTTTTTAAATATTCTTATAACATCAAGTGCTCAAATGAAAGTTAAAGATGTCAAAACGCTGAGCTTACAAAAAGCAGAGAGCGCAAAGTTCCTTCCTTAGAAAATTTTTGGGATGTCCCTAGGAAGTCGGCTTCTTTCCAACGTGAAACATTTAACTGCTGTGGGGAATCTTGCCCACATACTCGAAGGCGTTTGAGACCCCTGCCCTAGAACACTAACCTGGTACTCAAAATTTGTACAACATCGGCCTTCCTCGTCGTCCTTCCAGTGGCTTTGATAGCACTGCGCGCATCTACTAAGATAGAATATAGTCACGTGACTTCCTTTCACACGCTGATTGGCTGACTGAGACCGTGACCTTTGCCGTATGCCATGTTACGTACGGCGAGACGGATTCTAGTCATAATGGACCTCCATTATCGATTGGAAGCCAGGTAGGTCACTTCCTCGATTTTTGGTTCGTACAGTCACCGCCTGGTGTCGTCGGTATGTGGAAAAGGTCCATTATTCATAGTAACCGCTAGGCATATGCGCAATTCGCCAGGGAATTCTTCAGGGACTAGTCATTTACTACCTCGTTATTTAGTGTACGATTCTGACTTTTGTGATCAGCTGTCGTTTGTTCACCTTGTTGTGCGTTAGTACAGCTACAAAAGTAGTTGGTATTATAATCGCTAGACAAAAAGTTTAAACTACTCGCTAGATGGCGCAACTCGGCGCCCGAATCAAAGGCTAAAGTGATATTCATTCATTCATTCATTTAAGCACAAATGTTGGAAGGTGGTGCCTTGTTCGTCTCGGAGTTCCTTCTTTTCTTTTTTGTATGTACTTTTTTTTTTTTTTGCAGTTGCAGTTTTTTTTGTTTTTTTTTAAGCGACACATTTTAAAGCCTTATTCGCCCGCAGATATAAACGAGTGCGATGAAAAAATCCTCAACTGTTCCCACGAGTGCGTGAACACAAATGGAAGTGCGTACTGTGGTTGTCCCTTCGGCCTAAAGTTGTCAGATGATGGCTTCACATGCCGAGGTAAGTACGAAGAAAAAAACTCTGCTGAATATGTTATGGTGTGTCGGAACAGGTGCGGTGCGGTGTATTCATCTGGCTGCGGTAAATTACATAAAAATATATAATTTTCGTTAACGCTTTTACTTGCATCCATACACTGTGAATCTACTGTTCACTGTGAATTATTACGAAAAACTATTCTCTCTATGATAACCTGTTTCTTTCATATATATTTAGGTCTATACTACGGTGTCTTAGGAAGTGCTCCCTTTTCAGTGTATCTTAAGGACAGCGCAAAATCCAAACCTTTTTATATTTTACTGTAGCTTGTTATCAATACTGTAGAAAGTACAACACAAAACTTAGGTCAGTCAGCAGCCCTGCTTACGCACTTTTTGTTCTAGCGATTTCTTATGATCCATGACTGTCTGTACTTGGTCTGAAAGAAACAGAGCTCGCTTTTGGTTGGGGCTGTTAACTGCGTTAACAAAAATACATTGGTGATAGAAAGCCCGTCTGGTTTCTTGGGTCTCATTCTTTCTGTCCTCTTAAATCTTAAATATTTTACCTAAGTTCGTACTAAGCGTAGCCGAACCAGTTTCATCCAAGGAGCCCTTTTAAAAAATGTGCGCCCTCAATTAGCTGCGGCGTCGATTCTGTGAGGCCGCCATATTTCGGTCATTCACTTTTAGCATGCATGGGACAAGAGGGCCGTTTCAGCGCAAGGCGTAAATTCGGATCCAATCACGCATTTCACGTAGGGAGCGATGCCAATGGATGGAGGGATGGATGTTAATGGCTGTACCCTTTTTAACGGGCGGTAGCTTACGCCACCTAGCCTAAGTCTTAAAGGACCCCAAAACATGGTGACCACCAGTGTTGCTTGATGTACCTTTGGAAAAGGTCGATTTACCATATGCTCGACTGTGAATTCATCACTCAAACCCACTTGCTGACTGCAGACGTCGACGAATGCACCGAGACGCCGCATGTATGCAACCAGATCTGCTCGAATACGATCGGAAGCTACGATTGTTTTTGCAAAGCCGGGTACACTCTCTCCCTCCATGACAACTTCACGTGCGAAGGTAAAAACTAAAAAGAGTTTTTATTTATTTTAAAGAAACATTTATGGGTGTGTTCTTGCCATTCTTTTCTCAAATTGTAATTAAAAACAAAATTTAACGTCACTCTTGGCTCTGGAGTCCGAACGTGACATCATGGTTGACGTCCCGTACCACAGTCACGTGACCTGACGCCTCATAACTCCTTTAAACGAAGAACTCGTTCAAGCGAAATAGTCGCGAGCTTGAGTATTTTCTTATAATAAATACTGTTTCTTACCTCACCTGCCACAATTTGTCGCCTTGAACGTTATGGTATACTATCTACTAAAAAAGGTGCCGACCATAATTCGTGAATTGTATTCCATTCCGGAGTACCCTTGACGTATTGTTCCAAATACGAATCAGAGCTCTTGCCTAAATCGTTTAGTGAATTTGTGATTGATCTTTGTTTTAAACTTTTTTTCCCAATCGTGGGATGCACATGGGTGACTTTTTTTATTTTACTTGTTCTCATCTCTTCTGTCTATTATTTGTGTCGTTTCTAGAGCTACACTTGATTTTATTTGGAACCTATTTTTTTTTTCATTTGCTGTAGCAGGCACCATACTTATGAAATTTGATTTATGCCCAAATGGATCTTTTCTTTTCAGATGTGAATGAGCGCACTCAAGGTACCCACAATTGCAGTCATATCTGCACCAACTACGATGGTGGTTATTACTGCGAATGTCCACTGGGATACGAAATGACCGGGGACCAGAGATCATGCGCAGGTGCGTGAAGCGAAATATGCAAGCTCATTCGAGCAGATAGATGTCTCCTGGCGTTCACTATTCTGAAGAACCACATCGCTCAGAGATCGGAGTACAGAAGCGTTGTAGCGTTCAGCCATTTCTTTTTTTTTTTTTTCGGGTGTTACCGCAGGGGTATGCAGCGGATCATTTGTGTGCAGGAATGCTCCAAATTTTGGGTGATGTCTTAATAAATGTAGTAAAAAATAAGGCTTGACGTAAGAAGAGAAACTGTTTAATCAAACGTTTTGCTTGACATACGGGAGGTATCGTCAGCAAAACAAAGAACAATTGTGTCCCGTGTAGCATATCGGAGAAACATCTGACGTGTCACAAGCTTGGCAATCCTAGGGACCTAACATGAGCCGTATGCGGCTTTGCTACGAGGCGTTGATTAGTGCCAAAGTACGTTTCTTCGGCGTTTTTATTTATTTTCTCTGGTTCGCCGTATAATTGCCAAAGTGCCAGACTTGAGCGAAAGATGACACTAATGAATCGAAGAAACAGCAGTCAAGCCTAAATCTGGCACTTGTTTGGAAATTTAAGGCACAAAGTTGCCACATGAAAACCGAACAACCAGCAGTGAAGCATAACTTTGGCACTTATTTGGCGAATTTGGGCCGAGACATTCGGAGCCTGGCCAAAGAAGGTCACGTTTGGCTCTTTTTTTCCTCGGAACAATTCTCAGATTCGCAAATTCTCAGACAAATCCAAAATTTCGTACCAAAGGACTGTGCTTTTTCGTTACTATGAAAGCAAAGGTCGATTTGTTACTGTTCCCTATTCGATCTCTCAAAGTATACGATCACTGATTTCCATTTGCGCGTATAAAAGACTAGAGCATGACGAAGGCTGCAATTTAGGATCATGCACGAAAGCAATGAGACTACGACACAAACGATGGTTGCGGCTAGTAAGCATACCGCACACCACCCCAACAACTCCTAAATTCACAAAAGCAAGAAAACAAATTGACAGGTGGTTTTATTAGTTGCACTTAAGTTTATACGATAAATCGGTTCTCGTGTTACTCATTAGCTAGGGCACCCTCACATTCTAATCGTAATGGTATACCTTTCGGGAAACCTCAGATTGACATGCGACGTTTCGTTAAGAATCTATCTCCTTCTCCGGGGAATGACACGTCTACGACATCACCTTTGTATCCGGAAAGCGCAGCGTATAGGCCTTGTTTCTTTCCGATTCTTTCGCTGCCAATCTGAAACTCCCTGAGTTTTCTTGTCGACCCGTTTCTACCAGATTATGTAGAACACTTCAGTCACTGACAGGTGAAAAAACGGAAGGCGTGACTTGTGAGTTTGCGGCTACACTGCTTGTTTTGTGATTTGTTCTATCATGCTCTGATTGGGCTAATGCCGCCGTTTTATTGACTCCGGAGCAATGATAAGGTGTCCGGGGCTCACCACGCTCTGCTGAGCTTTTCTTAAAGTTATCAGTGACTAAGGCTTTTTTTTAAGACGCCATGGCCTACTACATTGCACGTGTGACTACAGAAAGTTTTGCTCGGTTCGTCTCGATGTAATACAGAGGTTACCTGCCCCATGTTTCTGGGTGTCCCGGACGCCAACGTGAGCTGCACCCCCGACGCGTCGAGCGGTTTCGCCAAAGCGCGCACGACGTGTGCCTTCAAGTGCATGAACGGCTTCCAGCTGGACGGTCCTAAGACCACCAAGTGCTCCGAGAATGGAACCTGGACCAACGAGCCGCCATCTTGCAAACGTGAGGACCCTGGCAGAATTCTTTTTTTATTTTTTTTTAAAGAACACGCTAATTCAAACGTTAATTTTAACTTAAATACCTTCATATATCTTTCACTGCGAAGATAACGGTAGTGATGAACAACTCACCGACTTTCTTTTCTCCAAAAATACGGCTTTTGAATGTTTCAGTAAATACTTGCCACACAATTTTTTTTTTATGTATCACGACCGTTTTTTTTTTTGTGAAATCGCAGACATGAACTACTAGATGTGGTAGTATATTTATTAATACTTGGTTTTTCTTCCGAACTGTTACCATAGTCTGTTTCAGGATAACAAAGGCAAGACAAGCTCCTCGCACAAAGTCCTCCACTCCTTCCACTTTAGTAGAACGAATGCTGGAGAGGAGGCCAATGGAGAGGAGGAAACCACCAATCACGGCGAGCAGAGGGCTTTCTGGGAGGGGCTTCGGCCATTCTAAACCCCTGCACCAGACTATACCTGTGGACCATTTTTCGTGTAGTTTGGCACCTTCTGTTCAGAACTGCTCCGCGATTCTTGCGTTCCAGGCGTATTTCACTGGCGGCTGGATAGTATAAACTTTATTTGGTTTATGAATTATTTTATAGTGCTTCGGTCAGCATCATTCACTGTGTGAGATATATATACATGTGAGGACACACTGCACGGCGAACGCAGCGACGTGATCGACCAGATAGAGTCCTACTGGCGTGTACCCCAAGTAACATAAGCCGACAGCGTCTCCTCCATCCACACGACAGAACTGAGGGGGAAAAAATAAAGAAACAAAACAAAACCCAGAATAATGTCTCGTTTCCATGGCACCCGGGCGCGCGCTCTTTTCTCTCGAACCCTCTGCTCTCGCCTCGACAAACACTGGCTTGATCACTGGGCCAGAGATCTCTCCGCTTCAACGGGTGCCTAAAGGAGTTATTGCCGCCGCTGAGGCACGAAACCGGAGTTGGTGACGAATCACTGTCTAAGCGGCACGCGTGTAGCAAGTGCCAACGTCTACATGACTTTGCGCACCCGGGATCGGGCTTTAAAAACATGCATGTCTCCCATAAAGAAGCGTGGGAAACCGGACCCGCGACACGCTGCCATTAGCCGCATATCGAGGAGCCATCAAGTGGTGTCGCTTGCAGCAAATCTGGCAGCAGCAGTCCGCCCATTCTAAATTATTTAAAGATATAGTTCGTTTGCAAAACCGCTCTTGAAGCAACTTCTGCTAATTAAGAAAGTAACGTTTCTTTTTTTTATTTCGGCATGCTTACGCAATTTTGTCACCTATAGCAACGGTATCTTTGCAGCCATGTTTTGCGAAGCTCTCTCCAGCCCCGAAAACGGACGTGTCATGCCCGAGCGCTGTCTGATTCCCAGCGCGAATCACATCGGAGCAAAGTGCTACTTCCAGTGCAACAGCGGGTTCCAAAGGAACGGCACTTTAGTGAACACTTGCACGAAGGTGGCCAAACGCAACGAGCTCGCATGGAGGCATGGTCCAGTTCACTGCCAGAAAGGTATGTTGTTGCCAAAGGCCTACCAACATATACATTAGAAAGCCAGGAACTGCACGGAGCCGTGTGTCGTATTTTGCTCACCTGTAGCCACGGGGGTGAGTTACGTCGTATCTTGTTGTTACCCTGCTCGAAGTGCGACCGAGATGCATTCAGAACTGCCCTCCCGTGCACACAGACACGCTCAGCTCCATTTCACACTAGGCCCGACCTCAGCTGACGTTACAATCCAATGGAGACAATCAAGCGGCGCCTGAAGTGCATCATCACGGCGGTCGTTCTTTCTTTCTAATGCGAAAGCATCAGCTGTTCCATAGAGCGGAGCCGGCAGCGTCTGTGACCGCGAAAAACGGCACTTAAAAACCCGTAGCTGCCAAAAACGGCACTTAAAAACTCGTAGCCGCCAAAAACGGCACTTAAAATCCCGTAGCTGCCAAAAACGGCACTTAAAATCCCGTAGCTGCCAAAAACGGCACTTAAAAACCCGTAGCTGCCAAAAACGGCACTTAAAAACCAGTAGCTGCCAAAAACGGAACTTAAAAACCCGTAGCTGCCAAAAACGGCACTTAAAATCCCGTACCTGCCAAAAACGGCACCTAAATTGGCTGCGACGCGTCATATCAGATGCTTTGTCACGGAAGCCGCCGCGGCCGATCGAAATCAAAGCAAACGCGCTTTGGAAATAAAACACAAAGGAAAGCACAGCAACGCAGAAGCCTCGTCACGGAAGCCGTCGTGAAGGCGGCAAGTTGGAGAGCGAGATGTCACCGCCGCAGCGCCGTGTGCGATAGGAAGACGTGGCGCGCTGCTTGTAGCAATGCGCTGCGTGTAGGAATGCTTTCGCATTCCTACACGTGAGCAGTCTAAGTGTCTCTGCGAAATTCTTTTGTTTACGTCTGCTATCACCGGCTATACCAATCACGCACGGTAAAAGAAGTGCCATGATCATGGCACATTCAGCGTCTGTGATAGGTTTAGCCGCGGTGACAGTGAACGCAGAGTGACGACGAGCACCGTGTCGACGCGCTTTTTAGCATTGCTCGATTGTCTCTCCCGGATCGATAGCGCATCAGCTGCGCATCAGCCTTCAAGCGAAACCTAGTATATACACCGACACCCTGTTTACAGACAAGCCCGCGCTGGGCCCGCACCGGGCGTGGGCACTGCGCGTGCGCAAAAAAACAGATTCGCCTGAGGTGTCTGCGCATGCGCAGTGACGGCAGCAGCGCAATCGCAGTGGCGTGACGTCAGAGGGTTGATTTGGTCTACGGTCAGGCACGTAGCCAGGGAGGGGGGGGGGGCAGAGGGCCCGCCCCCCCTCCCCCGAAATCTTCCATTTTGCTGGGACCTCCTCTCCCCCCTCACCCTCACACAGCATTTTGTCATGAATGCCCCCCCCCCCCCCCCCCCCCCCGAAACGGAATCCTGGCTGCGTGCCTGTCTGCGGTCATTGAAGGGATGCTGAACCGAAATTTGGATTTTGCAAAACAAGGCCACAGAAGTGTTTAACGGAACACTACGAACTTTGAAGCAACACTCATACATCGATACCTTAAGCGGATAGCCGTATCTTTAGAAAAGAAGGTCGCGTGCAAGCAAGGAAAGCGACGTCACGATTCTCTTCGAATAGTTGAGAATGAGGGGAGGCAGCCTCGTCTCTCTCCTCTTGGCTTCGGCTCACGTGCTTGAGGGAACGGAGCGGAAAGGAGAGGAAATGAGAATCGCGACGTCACATGTCTCGTCGGCCTCGTCGGCCGTGTTCAATTCAAAATTTCTTTTCCAAAAATACGGCCATCCGTTAGAGATTTTGCTGTATGAGTTACATTTCTGGGTTTTGCAGCGTCCCGCATATCGCCCCAGCCTTGTTTTGTGAGCTCCAAATTTCTGTTCAGCAGCCACTAGACGTGCAGTCGCCAAAGAACGAATCACGCCTAAATAAGCGTGAACAGAGAGTTGAGTTAGTCTATAGTCACCGACACCTTAAGAAACGCAAAGCGTGGCGAGGTCTTACTATAATTTTGCAGCCAATAAAAGCAGACACCAAAGAACGAATCACGCCTAAATAAGCGTGAACAGAGTTGAGTTGGTCTACAGTCACCAACAACTTCAGAAACGGAAGGTGTGGCGAGTTTGCAACATAGTATTACCAATCCACAGCCTATAGAAGCACAGACGCCAAAAAACGAACCACGCCTGAATAAGCGAGAACAGAAAGTCGACTTGGTCTACAATCACCGAAAACTTAAGAAACGCAAGGTGTGGCGAGTTTGTAGCATAGTATTACCAATCTGCAGCCAAAAAAAGTACAGACGCCAGAGAACGAATCACGCCTAAATAGCGTGAACAAAGAGTTGAGTTGGTCTATAGTCACCAACAACTTAAGAAACGCAAGGCGTAGCGAGTTCCTAATATCTTACTATAAATCCGCAGCCAATGAAAGCAAACACCCAAGAAAGAATTACGCCTATATAAACGTGAACAGAGAGTTGAGTTGTTCTATAATCATCGAAAACTTAAGAAACGCAAGGCGTGACGAGTTTCTAATATCTTATTGCCAGTGCGAAGCCAATAAAAGCACAGACGCCAAAGAACGAATCACGCTTAAATAAGCATGGACGTGATAAGCTACGCTTTGTGTATCTTAAGCTGTCAGTAACCGTAGTGAAAAGTGAAGAAACCAAAATGAAACAGAACCGATAGCGAAGGTCAGTTATGCGCAGAGTTCTGGCACTTCTGCCCAAAAGGCGACTGTGCCGAAACACTCTCTGACACAGGAAAACTGCGGTGAAATTTTCATAGTTTCTGATTAACCTCAAAATTGGTTCATTATATTAACAGACTTATTTAAACGAGTAACCCATATTATGAGTCTGTCTATTTTGTAAAGTTGTTGAAGTTTCAAATTTAGTCCAAGAAGGTAAAGAGGCTGTACTGGCACGCTGTTGTCAATCTGGTGTCAGTGTAGCTTTTCCCGACGAGTTACAAAGAAGTTTGATGCTCTTAAATGAATGCTTAGATGGTTTAGATCGCGCCAGAAAACACATGCGCAAAATACTGTGTTTTCTTAGGCTGTCTGCGGTACTTGCAAATTACGCCAGATGTGACGTCAGCCCACCGGAGAGCGTGGGTTACATTAAATGTGGGTTTCGACCTTATCTTAATTTGCCGTTTTCTCAATAGCTCTTTTGAATTTTGAACCAGTACTTATAACCTGCAGAAAAGAGTGAAGCCTGAATATTCTGAAAATGAGTTTAATTAAGGTAGCTAAAAAAAAAAGCGGAGCTTTTTCCCCTTTACCACCTAAATCATGCATGCGTTTTGGAATTTCAAAGTTGCACAACCCTGCATTTTTTTTGTTTCTTTTTTTTTTTTTAGTATTAACGTTTTTTCGCCTCCCCCGTCTTTTCAGCCAAAATTGCGCCAATCATGACGTGTCCTCAAGACGTGGTCGAGACCCTGCCTCCAGGAGCGATTGAGACTTGGGTGACGCTTCCGCCTCCGAGCCCGAACCAGGACCCCAACTCGATCAGGGTGTCCCCATTTTGGGTCCAGAAGCACGGAGGAAGTTTTCCGTATGGAGAAACGGCTGTAACGTATTCTGTCGATGACGCAGAGAATGGCTACAGCCTGAGCTGCACGTTCAAAGTGGACGTCAGAGGTAACAAGCATTTTCTAGCGTTCTTAGTGTCGTGATCGCTGATCTGTCGAAGGATAAAAGCTGGTTGACAGGTTTGCGTTTGAGTGGGCTTGAGTGTGTTACCTTCCCTCTGCATGCATGCATGGCAGATGTTCTCTTCGAATCGGACGGTCGCTAGCGCCGCCTACAGCCAAGTAGTATTTTATCTCCAGATTAAATTGTGTTTAGGCCTACTTGAGCAGACTTTTCCTCTATCAGTCCCCTGATTTTAGCCAACGGTCCTCGGTCTTTTGTTGGCGAGCTGAATTTCTTGAAAACATTTCGTTTCATCAATTTTATTGAATCCCAGGGCCCTAAGAAAGTAAGCCTAGTCCTTGAAAATCAATAACATCTACTGGCGCACTGGCGCCATCTTTTGGGTAGCCCTGGAACGATTCCGACTTGCGTGCACCTAAACTCAAGGTTTTGCCGTATTTTCGAGATCAAATTTAGGCACCATCAACGATAAATGGTCGTTTATAACACTGTTCATAAGTATTTCAAACCCATGTTAAATGAATGATGGAAAAAGCATTATAAAAATTTATACGCAGCTCTAAATTGTGGTGCAGAGCTATTCGATTCACAAGGTAACGCAGCGCACTAGAGCGCAATCAAACGCAAACGTGTGAACAAGCCTTAAACAAACTAAATGAGAGACACCACCTAAAAATTACGAGAGAGATAGTGTCACTACGGCAACCGGTAAGAACGCATCACTTTTCTGACGTTATGGGAAGAAAGGGCCTTACATGAACGCCCGGTTTTTCACGACTGCTGCCCCTAGAAGTGAAGCTTCACCTGATGTCCAATCTGTCTCGTCCAATAACGCAGAAACAAACAGCTTTTTTTTTGTGCTTTCCTTGCAGTTTTTGTGTAGCCACAGACTATATCTAAAAACAGTGTTGCCAAGATTCCAACAAGTTTTTCCCGTGGACATTCTCATAGTGAACGTGACGGGTCACTTATTGCGACTTATTGAACGGATTAATCGAAGTTACGAGCACTGCGAAGTCAAAGACCACCGGATTGACTTCGACAACTCCAGCATTATCGACGCAGAGACTAACAACCGACATAGGCTTTTCGTCGAGTCCTGGCATATTCAAACGACGCCAGGCAACATAAATAGGTGCCTTGGTGCTTTACCAACAGTGTATGTGAACGGGCTTCGCCATATTCATGAAAGAAGAAGATCGAGAAATGCGCCACATCCCTGAGAAAAGAAAAAGAAGATCGAAAAACGTCGCTCCTCAACGGCCACAGTCGCCCCTGACGAAGAACCGAGTCGGTTCGAAACGTAGGGCTCCTACATGTTTAGGAATTGGTTGGTTGCCATATTTTAATTATTAAAAAACAAAATGCACGGCTGGGCCATTTGAACTGTTCAACCGGCCAGAGATAAGGATAATGGCGTTTACCATGGTCATTATCGAAATGCAAATTATGGTTTAGAGCAGGAACATATTTTTATTAGCTCATTGAATTCTGTAGACCACAGTTCTTCGTCGCTTGCATGAGTAGACGTGCAAGGCATATTTAGACCGTTATGCGCGCCAGCTCTTCTGGCGGTATAACCTTCGTAGAGGACGGTATGCGGTTCCTTCAGGTCCAAGGTATTTTGAGAATCGATGAACTGGCCCATGCCGCTTGCAACGTACGAGGCCACATTCGCGAGTTGATTCGTCGATCGCCGGTTTGCAAAACCTCCATTGAGACTATCGATGTCCCTTACAATATTCCACATCCTTAACAACCGACTATGAAACGGTCAAAGACCAACCTTGGGTACGATTGAAAGTAGTGGTAAATCTGCTGACATCTAAGCATTTTTATCATTATTTTTTTATTGACGGCTAACTCTAGGTTAGCTGCGTTGGCAAAATGCTCCTGTAGTCTTGGTAAGCTCCCAGGATTGATGCCCCTACCAGTCGGGTTTTCTCAACGGCACACCAGTCGCCCAAAAGAACACGCGTTGCGCTTCATCTCATGAGGAAGCCCACTTATATTTTTGCGGCTGTCTTATTTGCATTGAAAAATTCCTCCAAACGCCAGGAACGCGTCTCCGAGAGGTGTTTACCGCGTCTTAAAATCGATTCCTCGATTTCCGCCTGATGACGTCATAGAAGTGTAACGCTGTCGCCGACCGCGACCCTGGCGGTGTAACAGCTGCGGTGGTGGACCTGACAGAAGCTTGCTCTGCTGCAGGTCGCTCTCCGATTTGACAGTCCACGGAAGGCTCATCGTAGAGGAATTTGGAAGCCGCAATAACAGCGACACTCGCGTTCGCTCGTACGTTTTGCCGGAACTTTTAGCGTCAACCGCCAGGATTGCAACATCCGACTGCGTCGCACGCCGGCTTCTGTGACGTCATTTGTTGCCACTTTGGGACCACTTTTGATGCATGGGCGGGATAGGACGCTAAGCACCGTCGAAGGTGCGTTCCAAGCGCCGCAGCTAAACGATTAACATCTCGCTCTTTCTTTCTCTCTTATTCAGACAAGGAGCCTCCGAAAGTCGAAAAATGTCCGGACACAGTGTCCGCTTCGGCCACGACGCTGGACGGAGTGTTCGTGACCTGGGACGAGCCGGAGTTCTCGGACAACGTGGGCGTGGACGAAGTCAGAAACACCCTGGTATGTGTCACTCTACGCCACGCCAAAACTTTCAAAAAGTATTGGGCGTCGTCACCCAGACTTCGCTACAGGAGGTATTCGCCTGTCGACGTATTTGAAGGCGATGCTTAGAGCGCATGCTCAGAACGAGCTCCCATTAGTAGGCTGCTAAGACCGGCAATCTTCATGGTGCGGAATGCACGTCGCAAAAGAACTGTGGAAGCCCGCCGTGAGCACGCACTCAGCAGTCGAGCACACAGCTATGGCCACCCGCCAGTGAATACTCTTTATATATGACTTACGTTGACGTGAAATCCGCGTCCATTGCGATGGCCTTGCTACTGAGCGAGTACCTTCCGCAACGTACATTTCACACCCCGAATCCGTTTTTTTGGCAAGGACATGTATGAACGACCCATAATTATAACCTATAATTATAACCAGCACTAGGCAATGGCCTCGCGTGCAAGCCACGTATTGTGGCGACCGTTAACCTGGCCGAGAAGTGGCTCACGCCGCGTAAGAATTTTGTTTATTTAATTTATATGCCGGGGCAGAAATTCAGGGGCAGAAATGCAGGGGCAGAAATGCAGGGGCGTGGTTTATCAGGATCACGCTTCTCGCATCGTGATTGGCTCGTTGGCGCAGGGGGGGGGGGGGGGGGGGAAGGTGCCGCCGCTTCCAATGCACCCTCCTCAGAATTTACGGCGCTCCGTGGGGGCCGCCATGTTAAAACTTGATACCAGTGTTGCTGCATCTGTAGGTCATCTTTATGTTAGAGCTGACGGAGAAAATCTGGCCACGGCGCGGCGCCGATGTACGCTGGAAGCTAGAGCCGGTTTGCTTTCGTTGTTTTTGTTTGGTCGGAGAAAATCTAGCGACAACGCACGTTCAACAAGGCGGCGGTGTTGTTTTGGTTTGACGCGGTTTGCGAGCACATGTAGCGACGCGGTTTGCGAGCACATGTAGCGAAGACGTGACCGGAGAAGTGCCCCTGTGATGGTCCCGGAAGACGGAAAGTATCATTCGTAATCGTCGTGTGAGCATTGAAAGCGAAGGGAGTGACAGGGTTCACGAGTGCGCAACCACAAGCCAAGGTTCACGACAGCGCTCCGTCGACTTCGGTGATCTTGTTCTGTTTTGTGCATAGAGATAGGTTTGGTGCAACACGGCGATGCGACAAAGAGTTGAAACGTTCGTGGTGTGTGGTGCGGTGCTTGGAGGTAAAAGCCCATACTAATACGAAGCGCAAATTGGTTATTGTGGGGTTGAAATTCAACGGGTTCAGCCCCGTCGTCGTCAGCTGATCCGGTCCAGCTGGTCCGGGAGGACGCAGCGAGCGCTTTTAAAAGTAAATCTTCCTTCGTTCCGTTTCAAAATGTGGGAGATTCTCGACGCATACTTTGAGTAAAAAGCTTCGGGCGTTTTCAACAAGATTGCGTCGTTTTAATTCAACAGTAAACTCCGGATTATTGTCCTAGACCTGCTATTTTTATGCTTCGTGTTGTTGGCGTTTGCACAGCGACGCACACCGCCCGAGTAGATGATTCGGTCCTGCAAACGACCGGTCATACAGAATTTCAGGGAAACTTAAGTCACCACCGATATTTTCTCGTAACTCTCGTGTGAGTTTGCTGCGCTTAACATGCGGTGTGAATAAATTAGGGCAACTTTTCCTACCTGCCTACGGATGCATGAACTGAGACCATCTTTTACGTAGTGAACATAGCTTTTTTCTTCATTTTGGAAAGAGGTGTTCGTGAATTTATTATGCTACAATCACTTGAGAGTTCAGAAATTGGGGAGAGCGAGCATGCTTTCCCAACTTTGTCTCTTTTCTCTCTGGCATTGCTCCTAGTTTCAAGTTGCAGTTTCATTAGACATGCCTATACTAACAGGTACAAACTGCTCTAAAGCAGGTAAAAGACTGGTAAGTCAGGGCGGTGCGGACTCCGTGTTTCGCGCTTTTCGCAAGGTGACTGGGTAACCGCTCATTCACACTGGAAGCGGATCCGCGTTCGCAAAGCGGTTACGAACGCGGTTGTGTAAAGATCCACAAGTGCGCGCGAATGAGCGGCAAGTGCTTTCGCGAGGTATGCGGAATACGCAAACGATTTTGTTATGCCCGTCGGTTGCGTCTCTCCAGCAAAACGAATAAGATGATCTGCAAAGGCGCCATCACATGCCAAGATTTACGATAACAGTGCATTTGATTCGGTGGGTCCGTATGTACTCCGTTTCACCTTATGTTGCACCGCAGAGAAAGCTAAGAAGCGCGGAGCTCATAGCGTTGGGAGCTGCACGGGAGCTTGTGCCGCCGAGATGTGCCCTGGAGCAATGTGCTCGCGCTTGTACCTTTAACTGCGGTACATCATAAGGGTGAAACAGAGTATAGTTGTATTTTACCCTGCTCTCTGCAACACCGTGTCATGACGAAGAGCTGGAACGTTCACGGTTTAGATGGGCTAACCGGTTGACCCAAGAGCAAATCCAGAACTCCGTTTATTTTATTTTATTATTTTATTTTTTTTTGGGGTGGGGGTTTTGGGGGGGGGGGGGGGGGGGGGGGGAGGGAAAATCTAAAGCAAGATAAATAGGGACTCCGGTTGCGCCTTTTGTTAGAACCGCCGCAGAACCCCCATTGCGCCGACGGCCCCTAGATGTGCGCCCGCTGCGCCGACTTTTGGGTTCTGAGCCCGTGCTTTGAAAACCGCCGCAGCGGGAATTCAGTCTCGGTCGAAGCGACGGGGTGTTTTCTTCTCCCAAGTTCAGAGTACACACACGTTTGCCTGCTCGGGTGCGACCTACCCTATTTTCGAACCCTCGTCCTCGAGTACCGGACCCCTTCTAGTCATAGTCGGTTTTATTTCGGCGGGGATCCACCCATGTCAAATCGCTCTCCCGAGAAGGGGGCAGTGGGGGGGGGGGTCGAATGTTTGGAGGGGGGAGCGGCCACCCCCCTCCCCCCCTCCCCCCCTCCCCCCCCCCCCCCCCCCCCTTCTGGGTCCACACCCCCTGGGTTGACAGAAGCTCGCGTCGCCCGCATCGGCCACTGAGTGCACTTGGGCTGTTGTAGTGGCTGTAGGCTGTTGCTCTCGACGATGAGGAAGCGGCGAAAAGTGACCTCTGAAGTAAATGTAAATTCATGTTCATCCAGTTATCCGGTGTCAAAGTGTGGAAGGTCCCCAACGTGTACTGAGGGCGGGAACTACGAGCGTTTTGCCTTGCTTTCGTAACCGAAACCAGAACAACGAGATATAACTGCCTTGCGTACTCCAAAATGATTGGAAAGCAACAAGTCGTCAAAAAACCCCCGTTTTTAGGGTTTTCAAACTAAGTAAACAAGACAAATATAATTAAACTTCGTTGTCTGTATGCAGGAGGACTTATGTAACACAACAATACATTCTCTTTCCAAAAACAAAAAGAAAGTAAAACTCAGTCCGCCGTATATGGCAGCAACTTCTTCGCTGCAAAACCTATGCTGGCAACGTAAGCGGTTTTAATATGGCAGCCTCCGCTTTGCGCCGCGTTCCCTTTCCCTCCTTCCTCCCCCCCCCCCCCCCCCCCCCCCCCCCCCTGCTTTGGCGTGCTTATCGAGCAAGGCTGCACTCTCATTGGCTGAGGAGCGATAATGCTATGCTCGGGGACGCACCACGCCGTGCACTTTGTTAAGCTGTCGGTACCTCGGAGGACAATTCAGAGAATGGCCTTCTGCGTGCCGCCATCCTTGTCTGCTGGACTTGGGGATGCGTTCACAGCACGCCCACTAAGCCCTCTTCCGAGAGCAGTATCAGACGCGGCGCATGCGTTCATAACCCAGTGTGACTCGCCATTTTTTTTCTTCAGACAAACAGCGTTAGAAAGATGTAAAGCAGTCCTATTCCGTGGCGCACCAATAAAAGCAATAGACCCAATGGATGAGTGGATTGGATGGATGTTGCTGAAGCCCTTTGAATCGGGCGCCGACTTGCGCCACCTAGCCAGTGTTTTCTCTCTC